CCCAGAGCATCGCGGACGCAGCGAGGAAGCAGAGGGTGACGGGGGCAGGGGAAGCCTGCGGAGCAGAGGGCGCTGGGTGCCCGGCGGGTCATCGCCTCTGCGGGAGACCCCTCCAGGATGGGGGTGGGAGGAGCGGGAGTAACCAGTTGAAAAGGAGGGAGAGGTTGGGGAGATGGATCTGAAAGACCCAGAAGCCGGTGGGGACTTTCACTTGGGACCCCGGCAGGACCCGGGAAGGCCAGGTGCGGATACCGAAGAGGGGCAGCACGTCCAAGCAGGCCGACTGAATGAATGATTGCTCCGCCTGGCCGTCCTCGGGCGCGCTTGACTGACGAGGACGCCGCGGGAAAGGCTTGGAGAGCCAGGAGGTGCCAGGACTCAGGCTGTTCCTGGAGGGCCCGCCCGAAGCGCTGGAGTCCGCAGGCGTCATCAGCCGCCGGCTGGAGGCAGAGTTGGGGGCAGGCTTGTCCCACCGACCCCGCGGGATGGCCCCGCCCCGGGGCCGAGGGGAGGCCCCACGTGGGGGGGCGGAGTTGCTACCGCCCCCTCCGACGCCCTGGACTGCGGCCCCTTTTTAAGCCCGCGAAGCAACTGGCTGCCCCCCTCTAGCTTCTCCTGCCAGTCTCCCTCTTGCGTGATGGCCTCGGCACTGAGCTATGTCTCCAAGTTCAAGTCCTTCGTGATCTTGTTCGTCACCCCGATACTGCTGCTGCCACTCATCATCCTGATGCCCACCAAGGTCAGTTGCGTCTCTAGGCAGCCCCGTGGATTCCGGGCACCTGGTGCCCAGCTAGGGCACTGAACCTGGGAGCATTAGGTGGAGCGCACGGATTCCCTGGCGGGCATAGCTCCCCTGGGGCACGCACCCTTAGGAGCACCGGGTGCGACGGGAGGTGCCCTGCAGAAAATTCGGAGGGGCATGGACGTTGGGGTTCACAGACCCCAGGGCACAAGAATGGTTCTGGCAAGCACAGAAACCTAGAAATTAGCATAGGTCTTGGCCACACAACCCACTCATAGGCTCGGAATCTCCCCGGAGCACACAACCTGGTCCCCAGGCCCCCCAGATGCCGCCTGTAGTGACGGGGAGCCTGGGTGCTTGTCTTTCCTTTCTCTCTCCTGTCTCTTCCCTTAGGGACTGGGGACTCCCCAGCTGGGTATGTGGCTTCCGAGGTCAGTTGGGGACCTACAGGAAAAGATCACTACCTAAGTGGATCCTGAGTACTGGTTGTGCCAGACAGTGGCCCTTCTTTGAGCCTCAGTTTCCTTATCTGTGATCCACATTTCTTTCCAGCTCTGAAACTTGGGAAGCCAAGCTGAGTCAGAATCCTGCTCTCAGCTGAAAGGCAGGTCTGGTTGGCCTGCTTTTGCTCGCTGCCTGCTGTGGCTGTGGCAGGAGGCGGGACACGTTCCCAGAGCTCACGCCTTGGGTGGCACGACCCAGGGTTGCGGGGAAGCCGTGTCCCAAGCCCTGGCCTCCTCGTGCTCCTGGGAGGGAGGCAGAGAATGAATGGCCTTGGCCACGGGGTGGGGGTGGTGCCGGGAGCCCTGGCCCAGGCCCTGCTGGGCTGTGCGAGGCCTGTTTGGCAGAGGCCCGAGCCCTTTGAAGCCTTTTGTGGCTGCTGGCTGCTCCTTCCTCGTTCCCTCTCTCAGCCTTTCACTCTCAGCCCAGACAGGAAACCTCCACTCCCCCGAGCCCAGGCAGGTTTGGGAAACAGAGGAGCTCTTTAGGCGATGCTCTGAGGGCAGTCCTGGAAAAGTGGGGTTGTACCGGGATATCAGGAAGCCAATCTCCAAGAGAATGAGACTTTCACCGTTCACTCATCCGTGTGTTCTCTGGGCCTTAGCTTTCTTGTCTGTACAATGGAGCAAGGTGGTTTGGTTCTGACATTTTATGACTTTAGGTGCCAAAAGAGATTATGCTGGTTCTCAGGATGGGGGAGGGGAAGGCTGGGAGGAGCCCTTGGGTGGGCTGAGCAGACCCTGGATGGGCCAAGGAAGGCAGATCCGACTCCAGTGGCTCTTTAGTTGCCGCACCAACTGGGAGCAGCCATATTTCCTCCTTAGAAAGAGATCTGGGACTGTTACCATCTGTGGGAGACAGCAAGGCAGGAGGGCTGAGCTTTTAGTTTTGCTGGTGGGGAGCGATGTTCCCTGGACTAATTATAGTAGCTCTGCTGACCTTCCTGCTCCAGGAGAATGTGACAGAGACCCCACTACCCTCCTCCCCTCTCCTGACTCAGGTGGCCCTGAGCTGGGTCTCCCAACTTGAGGTGTGTATGCATGTCATTAACATGCCCTGGGAGTGAGGATCAGGCAAGGGGAGAGGCAACATCAGTGAAAGTTGTTCCAAAGGCTGCCTTCATGTGCCTTCTCTCCCAGTAGGGTAGGTGACTGGGAGCCTGGAACCCCGTCTTCTCGTTTTCTTCCTTTGTGCTTCTGTTTTGGTTACCACTGAAGAGTTCCCTGTCCCCACCCCCACAGCCACAAAGATGTGCAAGGAAACCTAGGGCATGGGGCAGAGCAGCGGGGAAGCCAGTGAGAACTTGGCAGCCTGGGTGGCACTGTCCAAGTAGGGTGGTGACTCCCAGGGCATGCACCCTCTGCTGGTGCCCCAGCCACATCCTGCATGCTTTCTTCTTTCATTCCTCTCCTGCTCCTTGCTTCCTCCCTGTCTTCACCTCTGCTCCACTTTTCTGCCCCTACTCTGGGTCCTTTCTTTTAAAAAAAAAAAGCTTTTTGATAAAATAATACATTCACTGTGTTATTTTAATTATTTTAAAAATTCTTATTTTTATAGTCTCTCAAGTATTAAGTAAAAATGAAAATACTCTCAAATCCCCTAAAGTACACAGTATGTTCTCTTAGCTACATTTTTTCATTATGCAATATGTCAGGGCCTCCCTTACTTGTTAATAATTAGATAAATCAAGAGCCATGGTTTTCTTTAGTTGTACATTTAACATATTTGAGCCCCGCTACGTGCTTGGCACTGTGCTGGGTGCTGACTTTTAAATCCCATTGTCCACTGTTAGCTCAGCTTTAAGTGCACTTCCAGCCACATTCTCAGCTACGGGGAAGGCTCTGAATGAGCCCTCGGGATGCAGGCTTCTCTCTGCAGGTAGAATCCATCTCATTCTGCATGGTTGCCACCCCCTCCTCAGACTCCTCTAAGATCACCCGTCCTATTCTGCTTGTTCCACAATGCTCTGGGAGCATTCTAGTCAAGTGGGCTGACTGGTATTATTCAGAGATGGGGCGTTTCCCGGGCCTCCAGATAGTGGCATGGAGGTGAGGGGGCAATCAACCTTGTGTCTTTTCTATTGGTTACATTTGGCACCTCCAGGAATTGTGCTGGGAAAATTGGTTACACGTGCCACCTGCTGCTTCTAAGTTTAGATAATTTAAAAATCACGTTCTGTGTGCCATACGTTAAGAATGAGTACTTTTAAATCCTCAGTTTACAGGTGAGGACATGAAAAAAGCAGGGAGAGGGGCCAGGGTTGGCCGCAGGAGGAGTATTTGATCAAAGTCATTATTGAGAATTGCTATCACGTGATGATAATGGGACTGATATTTAGACAGCATTGCTGTTTTAAATTCTCTTTAGTGCACCCTCTTATTGCCCACCCCTGGAGCAGATCATCCCTACCTCCCTCCCCCTTGATGCCAAGGCCCAGAAAAGTTGGTGACTGCTGAAGGCCAGAAAATGGCAGACAGTGGACACTGATCAGATCTGCCTGGTGTCAAAGCCTGGTCTTCTAACCACATTGCTGTCCAGCTTTGAGCCCAGTGGCTTCAACCACCATTGAGTCCCCCCTCCTTCCCAATCAAGGAACATCTGGCAAAGTTTGGAGACATTTTTTCTTGTCACAAATGGAGAAAATGCCACTGGCATCTAATGGGGTGGGGGCTAATCATCCTACAATGCACGGAAAAGGCCTCCCTTCCCCACAACAGACAACCGTCCAACCCAAAATGTCACCCGCGCGGAAGCTGAGAAACCCGGCATTAGACAGTAGGGAGGTGTCCTGGGGTGCTCATGGGCTGCCGAAGATTTATTTTTATAATCCCTGATAACACAGTCCAGACAAAGAGGCCCAGTCATTGTGCGATGTTTCGTGCATATCACACGTGTGACCTTGGGTGACGATAAACAGTGACGGTGCACAGGTACGCTCTCCCCAGCAGTGCTGTCACTGTCCTTGCCGTGCTGGTCTGTTCCTCTGATCGGCATTTGCTCACCGTCCCTGGAGTAGTGGGAGCCTGGGGTGTGAGTGGGCAAGGAGATGCGGCTGGGGGGGCCTGCAGGGCCTGCTCCATTGCAGGTCTTCCAAGACATGCTAAGGCACTTGCCTTCCTGAAGGCAAAGGAAGGCTTTTAGATAAGGGAGTGATATGATCCGCTTTGTAAAGAAAGAGGGAGCAGTAGTGTGGAGTGATGCATGTTGAAAGAGGGAATTACAAGAGAGCCGCAGTGATGCAGGCAGGAGGGGACGTGGCCTGAGCAGGGGCAGTGCCGTGGGGTGAAGGTGGGAGGGGAAGAGGCTGGGGAAGAAATGGGTAGAAGCTACAGGTTTGGTGCTGATTTAATTGGAGGGGCGGGAATGAGGGAGTGGGCAGAGTCTGGGTGGTTAATAATGATTATAGTAAAAATGCTGATAAAGGGAAAAACAGCCCAGGGAGGTGGGTATTATTATCCACATTTTAATAGGTGATGAAACTGAGGGCCAAAGGCCTATAGCGACTAAGGAGCCAGGGCTGCAAACGCTTGCACCCGAACCCAGGTTTGTCTCACTCCAAAGCCACAATCCCAGCGGCTAAGTAACTAAAGGGTGTGAACAGACAGTTCACACAGGATTAAGTACAAACAGTAATGCTTGCGAGCTCTGTAACTAGAGAGCGGCCAATAAGCACCAAGTGCCACCTTCTCAGTTGTAATAAAAACCTCTGGAAATACTCGGTGCTGGCCAGGTTCTGAATGAGCTGGTATATAACAAACATTTCTGGGAGCTAGGAAAGTTGGAGCAGTCTTTTGAGAAAGAAATTAGGAATCAGGAGTTAGAGGATGTGCCTTTCCTAAGAATTGCATTTACTTTGCAAAATGATTTTGTTTAATTCTTAGAGCAGCTCATCAAAAATAGTATTTTCTTCTTTTTTCCCTCCTCCTCCTCTTTGACCCCTTCCTCTTCCTCCTCCTTTTCCCCCCTCTTCCCTGTCCTCCTCTTCTTACCTTCCCTGTGGAGGGGTGTGGATGCAGGGCTTGGGGAGGTGAGAGACTTGCCCGGGGCCACACAGCTGGGGGCAAGGGGGAGTCTCTTGATGACGGGTCCTGTGCCCTCCTCACTGTCCTGAACCTGGAGGGCTGTGCTGATGGGGGCAGGGAGGCCGGGGCAGCAGCAGCATCATGCCGGGCCTCAGGGCTGTCTCTTCAGTTTGTCAGGTGTGCCTACATCATCATCCTCATGGCCGTTTACTGGTGCACAGAAGTCATCCCTCTGGCTGTCACCTCCCTCATGCCTGCCTTGCTTTTCCCGCTCTTCAAGATTCTGGACTCCAAGCAGGTGAGCAGACACAGGGCATCCAGGCGGCTTCCCGCTTCTCTCCCAGTGGCTCATTCTCTGAGCCCCTCTCTGAGCTGCCTAGGCTCCAGGGGACCAGATAATACCACATTTGTGGGTTCTCTCTGGCATAGAGACATACCTTTGGCCCTCCATCCCCACTCCAGGCTGCCCTGAAGTCAGCATCTGGTCTGCTTGCCTGTCTCTGGGGACTTGGGTGGCCCCGAGCCAGGCAGTGTGTGTCCGGGGGCAGGCCTGACAGGGCCTCCATGCCATCCTCCAGGTGTGTGTCCAGTACATGAAGGACACCAACATGCTGTTCCTGGGCGGCCTCATCGTGGCTGTGGCCGTGGAGCACTGGAACCTGCACAAGAGGATTGCCCTGCGCACGCTCCTCTGGGTGGGGGCCAAGCCTGCACAGTAATTACTCCTTCTCTCTCTCACTGCAGGGCTCTGCAGTAGGCCACAGGGCTGGGGAGGGGGTGTGGCACAGACCAGATCACCCACAGGCAAGGGCTGGCCATGGCCTTACCTGGGCTTGGCAGCCAGGCAGACCCCTGGGTGGGGCATGTGACAATCTTAGCTGGGGAGATCAGATGCATGTGTATGCCTGGGGTGGGGGACGTGGTAAAAGCAGTGGGTAAGGGTTTTCTGAATCCAGAGGAGACTGGCCTGTGAGGGTCTCTGCATGTTCATAAGACTTCCTATGGGAGGGGCTGCAGGGTTCCACAGAGAACAAGGTGGGTGGGAGGCTGGATCAAGCCATGCCTGATACCCCTAGGGGTTTTGTGGGGAAGGCAGAAAAGAGGTGCTCAACTACCCAGCTCAGGGGGAAGCAGAAAGGTCATCCCTCCATAGCTGGCACATCTATTCCCTTTGCGAAGAAGCTGCTTACCTCACCTTCCCCAATATCACTTTGTGGTCTCAACCCTGTCCAAGATCTCCCCTGCCAATCCCAGGCCCTTCCAACCAAGCCATGGAGTTGATACAAGCAGAATCACCTGGGTATACACAGCGCCTGCAGTGCCCAGGCCTGATACTGGGGGCTCATTTACCACCTCATCCGACTCTCACCACGCCTCTGAGAGTTGGGTATTCCCACCACCCATGTTCTGTTCTATACATGAGGAACTTGAGGCAGAGAGGGGCTAAATGGCTTGCTGACAATCACGTGGGGATAGGACCTGGCCTGTCTGATGAGGCCTTGCCCCCTCTAATTGGGAACTCAGGGTGCACCTTTCTTTTGAGGCAACAATTCTCCCTCAACAAGGCGTGTCCCCAGCCCAGCCCTGGAAAGGAAGGTTGGGTAGTTCACAGCAAATCCCTCCTGATGTGTCCTCCCGTCAAGGACTGTGCTGGGCCCCAAGCACACACAGACCCTGGCCCTCCCTCCAAGGCCCCTGGCTCCATAGCTCCCTTGAATGGAGGGCTGTGTGACTCTCTGACCGGTTACCCTTTGTGGCATTGAACACGCCCCCCACCGCACAGTGATTGGTTTACAGGGTCAAATCAAAAGCCAGTGCGTTTCCTAGAAACGTGAGACCTTAGGGGCCTCAGAATTCCTGTTCTTAGGATCCTCTGAGGGGCCGGCTTTCCTCCGTCAGTGGTGGGCCTCATTCTGGAGTGTGCTGGACCTTTTGCACCCAAATCCAGGACGTTCACACATGCTTGTCTGCTCCTTCCTGTCACCTGGCTCCTCCTCTGAGCCTGGCTTCCTGCTGCCCAGGGCACTGCCTGTCCTGGGGGTGCCCTGTATGTTGAGGCCCCCTTGGTGCCTCGGAGCATCACGTCGAAACCTCATTCATGCAAATTCTGACCCTCCTCCTAGCCTGGACCCCAGCCTTTGTACGTACGGGTCCGTGAGGTCTACCCGCACGGACACCAGCTAAACTCGGTGCAGGGCAGCCCCTAGACCTTCCTTCAGGCAAATCAGTGGCCCTGGGGAGGAGCCTGAACGCAGAGGGGCATTGGGACCGGGAGAGGTTGAGTTCCACTCGGCCCGCCCTCCCCGAGCTCCTTCTGCTCCTGGCCTCATGCCGGGGGTGTGGGACTGATGGAGGAGCCCCAGAGCTTTCCCGCCCAGGGTCTAAGGAGAGAGCAGACGTGGAAGCAGTTCCTCTGAATCCACCCAGCAAGGAATGTGGGAGAGAAGGTGGAGGAGGGTGCGGTCAGCCCCACCCGCGGTGCCCTGGGAGGGAGGCGGCCTGACAGGCTTTGAGGGACCGGGAGGAGTTTTCTAGGCGGGAGACACAAGTGGGACAGGGGTGGAAGGTGAGGTGTTCTAAGGGAAGGGAACGCGTTTTCTGAATACTCTTTGGTGACCTGGTCCACTGCAGAGCGGAAGGCGGCAAAGTGTGTGAATGAAGTGTCTGTGTGGGGGGTTAGCCATGAGGGAGGCCCCACTTCCCGGGCCCCGTCTGGGCTCACCCTAGCCCTGAAGGCCGGCTCCGCGCAGCCCTTCCGAACTCCTGAGAGAAGAAGCAGGGTCAGGGTGGGTGGGAATCTTCTAGATGGAAGTGGGAAGCTGGGCCTACCTGCACTCCTAGGTCATACTAGGGCAAACTCTCCGCACTGGGTCGGCACCATTCCCTTGCTAGACGGCGAGCTCCTTAGAACCACGACTGAGAGGGAGGGAGGGAGGCACTAATGGTAACCCCCTCCTAGACTCCCCGGTCTTGAGCTGGCCTTGGCACTTGCCCTGGCCCCTGGCATCCCTGCGGGGAGACCTGGCCCCCCTTGCTCCCTAGGCGCTGGGGGCACTGGGGATAGGGGATTCTCCGGCTTCCCTCCCTGCCTCTCCTCTGCAGGCTGATGCTGGGCTTCATGGGCGTCACGGCCTTCCTCTCCATGTGGATCAGCAACACGGCCACCACGGCCATGATGGTGCCCATTGTGGAGGCCGTGCTGCGGCAGATGGAGGCCACAAGTGCAGCCACCGAAGCCAGCCTCGGGGCCCTGGAGCTGGCTGACAAGGGCAAGGCCGGTGAGCTGCCAGGTGAGCGCTCGGCCAGGGCCCTGCGGGGGTCCACCATGCCAGCCTCCCCTCTGTTGCCGAAAGCTTTGGCCACTTCCCTGCTTCCTGGAGCCCTCCTTCAAACAGGCGTATAGAGAATGCTGTTTTCCTATGTTTTAAGGATGTGATTATTGCATAAAAGTTAGATCCTTTCCCAGAGCTTATAGCAAGTTCCCACCCTCCACTTTGCCATCACAGCAATCAGTGCGCGTTGATTTGATTATTTATTTAGGGATCTTTGGGGTCTCTGCTGGATGCGCCTCACCCCTCTGCTCGCCCTCAGGGAGGCCTTCTGCGAACAGGCCAGGCCCCTGCGCACTGTGCCCGCAGGTACTGGGCTTGGTTGTGCCACTTTTGCTTCCCCACTGGTCACCAAGCCCAGGGAAGACAAAGGGTGCCTGTTTCTCCCTCTGCCTTGCTCACTGCCCTATCCCCAGGACCCAGGGAGGCGGTGCTCAGGGCCTGTGCTGATGGCCTGATTGCCGGACCTTGCTAGATTGTCCTGGGGCCACAGAGATGCAGCAGACACATGTATACTGTGGACTTGTGGAGCCTGGTGGGACAGGATCAGGAGGCCCCTCAGACAGTTCCTCTGACTTGGGGGAGGCCACAGGATGCCATAAGCCAGACACCGAGGTTGCTCAGAAAAGGGAGAGGCCTTGCTAGGAGAGAACATGCGAGACGGATTTAGACACCCGCCTTCCCCCAGATGAAGGGAACAGCTTGAGTAAGAGCGAGGAGGCAGGAAAGAAAAGAGTATGTCTGAAGTTGCTGAATTTGCATGGAGCACTGCAGAGCCTGGGGGCTGCCGTGGGAAGTGACTGTGGGAGGCAGATGGGGCCAGACTACAGTTTTGGTCTGGAGTTTGGGGAACGAAAACCTGGGGAGGTTGCCAGCTGAGCTGGCTTGCCCGGATCCTCAGGACAGCAGCAGGGGCGGGGGACTGGAGCTGGGCGGGTGGTCCCCAGGACTGCTCAGCTCACAGCAGTGTGCCCATACCACAGGGAACCAGGCACATTTTGAAGGCCCTGCCATGAGGCAGGAGGGAGCCCATGACAGGAAGAACATCTGCAAGGCCATGACCCTGTGTGTGTGCTACGCGGCCAGCATTGGAGGCACTGCCACCTTGACCGGGACAGGACCCAATGTGGTGCTCCTGGGCCAGATGCAAGAGTGAGTTGCTGCCCCTTTTGGGGACAATAACAGGGGGAGGCTGGGGCTGGAGGGACCCACCACCTCTTTCTCTTCCTCAGCTGCACCCTGGAGCTGGGGCCTGGCAGGGGTGGGAGCATGGGCCCCCATCAGCCGCTGGGTCCCGGCCCCTGCACATGCTGAGAGCCCCACAGAGGGTGGGAGCTGATGCCCACAGATCCATTTGCCTTCTGTTCTGGGGCAAGTCCCAGCTTTCTTCCCTGGGCTCAGGATTCTTGCTCAGACAGAGTGTAGACTGAACTTGGAGCTAGTCACGGGAAATGACAACACAGTCCGAGAAGTGGGGGCCTTGGTTAAAACTTACAGAAAACAGATGGCCCTAAACATGCTCCTCTCAAAGCTGGGTCATGACTGGGGTTATTAATGGCGATGGTCCTATGATATCGGGAAGGGTTAGAGGGTCAGAGCCTCATCGGCTTATTCACTGCAGCCCCTCAAATTGCCCTTAAGGTGACAAGTGCCCTTGTGAGGCTCCAGGTGGACAGAGGTGGTTTGGAACTTCCCAGCCTTGGCCACAAAGGGACCCAGGCCTTGAGGACCCAGTTCTGTACCTGGTCTCGTGCCGGGTGGGGCTGTGATCACAGAAGTGAGAGAAACCTGGGTCCTGCCTGTCCTGCTCACGGGTGGCTGAGGGTAGCAGACACTTGGGAGAGATCTGGCGGGTCGTGTAGATGTGTTAATGAAGGTAAGTACAAGCTGTAGTGGGCACAGACAGAAGGCGCAGTGTGATGGTGCCTGTCCTGTGCAGACAAGCACCTGGACAGGGGTGGGGAGGGCCGCTGGAAGTGGGAACGAGGTGTCTGCCTCCTGGCCGGGTAGACACTTGAAATCCAGCAAGCAGGCTGTTTTGTTCCTGTGAGTGTTTTCTGTAATGACAGCCTTACAGTTCCTCTGGGCAAAGCAGCCCACCTGGGCTGAGTGGGGAGAGCTCTGTGGCTACTTCAACACCCTTGGGCTAAAGGGGGCAGTGCCTGGGGTGGGAGGGGAAGTGACCCTCCTCCAGCCCCCAGGAAACGTCTTCTCCTCCCACCCTGGGAAGCTTTTGAGACTGGATTTCCTAAGGGGACCCCTCCCTTGCAGAAGCCCACAGGGTGAGATTCTGAGGTATCCATGGACCCCCCGACCTGCTGGCCAAATTATGTGTGTAGAAAGGTGTATTTCTCTGGACCGAAGAGCCATGCCTTTAATGAGCTTCTCAGCAGGGTCTGAGCCCACAGGAGGGTCAGTTGGTCACTCCTAGAGCTTGTTTTGTGAGTGGCCATGTTCTGGGGCCCCTGCTTGATTGGGGTAATGCCAGGTGATGGATTGGCAGGAGGATGAACCCCCCGCCCCACTCCAGACCACCTCTCAGGGCCCGGCTGCTGCTCAGCCTCCACCCGCAGGGTCCAGCCCACCTGCCCTCCACAGCTCAGCATTTGGTAGAGATGTGGACCAACATTTCTCCTTTCAGATTGTTTCCTGACAACAAAGACGTCGTGAACTTTGCTTCTTGGTTTGGATTTGCCTTCCCTAACATGCTGATCATGCTGCTGCTCGCCTGGTTGTGGCTCCGGTTTCTTTATATGAGATTCAGGTAAGTCTGAGCTGCTTATGGAACAGTCTAACTGTGCCCCATCCCTGCAGAAAACCCCTCAGGCTCAGTGGGCGAGTTTACAGAGTTCTTCCTGTCTGGCTCTAACTATTTCTCCAGCCCCATCTCCTGCTAGTCTGCCCTCCAGTTCCCGCCACCTCTGCTGCTCACCGTGCCTTTGCACATGCTGTTCCCTCTTCCTGGAATGCCACTCCTTCTTGTCTTCCTACTTTCCAACCTCCTCAGTCCTCAAATGCTGCTCAGTTCAAATGCTGCTTCCTCGGTGACCTCTGTCCCATCTTCCACATACCCCTACTCCAATTCCAGCAGATTGCCTGCTCACTGCTCTGGGCTTCCCCAGGCACATCATGCCCGGTCCGCTGGCACCACGTTTCGGTGCTGCCCCTCCCCCCAACCTGAGCTCCTCTGTGGCCTGCCCTAAGTCCCCTTTGAGCCCGCCACCCAGGCCAGCTCCCAGCACAGGGAAAGAGAGCAGGTGTGTCACTGACGTGAATCAAAGCTCAATCTTGGAGCCAGTCAACAGTGCTGGACAGACTTCCACTTGGCTGCAAGTGTCCATCAGGCCAGGTCACAGAAGACCATCTGATAACATCCAGATCAGTCCAAACCCTGATACACCGAAGGCTTACAGAGCTCCCAGCAGCGCACAGCTTCTGCAAAGTTTACCTTCCTGTTCCCAGCACACAGGCAAGTCCACCCAGAGACAATCTTGACAGCAGCCAGACTTTGGAGAGAAACCATGATGTGCACCTGACAAATACGTCAAAAATTTCTTGTTCGTTTTTAAAGGCACACATTTATCTACGGCATGAAGGTGACCCTCCCACACTGGAAGAGGAAGTACTTATCCTGAGCCAGGTGCTCTGTGCCTTAATTCACAAGGAGCTTGAGCCCAGTGAGAAAGAGGCCCACGTGGCCAGAGACGAGATCTCAGGCTGAGAGGCAAAGGTGCCCACAGAAACCTGCGAGTTAATGGGGAAAGGGGGCATTTTGGTAAGTTTTCTTCTGAAGGAGGAACTGTTCTGAAAATGCCGCTAAAAAATCTCCAACCATCATCAAAGCGGTCACAGTGATGACGTAACAGTAGTCGTGGGCATCCGTCGCACGGCCCGCCCTGCCCGTGTCCCGGCCCCCACGTGAAAGTGAAGCTGCTCCCCTGGGCACTTTGGCTGCAAGGGTTGGTTTTGATCGTAGCTCTTGGCCCGGCTTCTCGCACCTGCCTCGGGACCAAAGTGCTGTTCACTTGCCCTCAACCATCCAGCTGGCTTTGGGAGACCCGCCTCAGACCTGCTGCAGGCTGCGGACAGGCACTGGCGTCTCCTCATGGAGCAACAGTAATAATAATGGCGAACAGTTACTGAGAACTTATCAAGTGCCAGACACGATCGTGAGCACTCTGCCTGTATTAATTAATCTCCACGTCACCTGTGAGGTGGGCGCTCTTATTAGCCCCAGTGTGCGGATCAGGCAGCCAAGGCAGGGAGAGGTTAGTTGGCGGACGCGGGACTGTACAGTGTGGAAGTCGTGAGGCTGAGGCTTGAACCCCAGCAGCCTGGCCCTTGAGCCTGTGCCTGCGACCCTGCATCCCTGTCTCAGTCAGCTCAGCTGCCATCACAGCACTGCGGGCTGGGGGCTTAAAGCACAGACGTTGATTTCTCACGGTTCTACAGGCTGGAAGTCCAAGATCAAGGTGCCGGCAGATCGGTTCCTAGTGAGCGCTCCCTTTCTGGCTTGCAGAAGGCTGCCTTCTCACTGTGTCCTCACATGGAGTGGGTGGTTGGGGGGGGGGGCTCTGGTGCCTTCCTCCTCTTAGAAGGGTAGCAATCCCATCAGGGAGCCCCAGCCTCAAGACCTCATCTAAGGGTCCCATCTCAATACACATTTGGGGTTAGGGCTTCAACATATGAGTATGGGAGGAATACAGTTCAGTCTGTAACAGCCGCTTCTTGGAGAGGCTGAGTTACTGCCTTTGACTGCCTCAAGGCCTAGGTACAGCCTTGCTTGTCAGGGGCTCCACCTGCCTCAGCCTTCGGGAGAGGCATTGCCCTGAAGCCTGAGGCCTACCAAGTCCCCTGGCAGAGCAAGCAGAGGGGAGCTGGCCTGGCCCCAAGACCACAAGTTCACCACCAGCCTCCAGTGGTAGACACCAGGCTCCCGGGATCTCACAGCCAAGAACCTGAGCTGTGGTTCCCGTAGCCTGGTGCGGCCGCCATCAGCTCTTCTTAACAGGCAGGGAGCCTGGAGACTTCTGGAGTCAGCCTGTGGTTGGGCTCAGGGCTGCCGCCGTCCCACATCCCTTCCTGGCATGCCACTCTAGCTCAGGGGCTGCTGCCAACCAGAAGGGGTGGGTGGGGTGGGGTGGTCCACAGGTAATCTTGTTTGGGCAGCTTTTTACACTCGGCTTGAACATCCGGAACAGCAGGGATGTCCTCAGGCCCAGACCATGTCTTGCCAAGTCCCAGGGCCTGGTGGGTGTCTGCATCCTGTGTGCCAGTGGCCCCAGGCTAGCCCCTCCCCGGGGCTGAGGTCCCCTCTATAACTCCTCCAAGAACCCCTCCTCCCTCCTGCCAGCAGTCCCTGGGGAGGTCCTGCAGGGCACCCTGGGCAGGTGTGTTAGTCAGTGGGCCCTGGTCCCTAGGGAGCCCAGGCAAGAGCAGGACCCGGGCTGGCTTCCCTCCTGTCATTGCCACACCTACTGCTAGCCCCAGAGTCTCCTGGACCCCTAATCCTATACCTCGCCTCCTTGGAATGCAAGCACCCACCCTGCCCCTGCCTGGCCCAGTCTGCTGGGACCTGTCCTTAAAACTTGTGTCCTCTTGAGCCACCTGATGACAGGGGCTGGCATCCTGGCACCATCAAAGGCATCTCCAGGCTAACGTGGGAGAAGACAGGGAGCATGTGAGGGAGCCTTGGCTCCAACTCGAGACAGTTCCAGGACTTCTCACAGCCTCTCCCAGGTGACAGGAGCATCCGGTCTCTTGGCGACTGGGCACCTGCCAGGACCCCCTTGCCGGCAGCAGCCTCAGTTCTGCTTGTTTCTGCTTCCTATGCTCTTCTCCCCTGCTCCCCATTTTGCTCAGCCTCATGGCCATCCTCTCTTTTCCTGCCTCCACTGTCCCTGAGACCTAGTCTGGACTGGCCACCCCACCTGTGCCATCTCAGGCCTCCTCTGGGGGCACTCTGCAGTCTGGGGACACTCTGCGGCATATGCTGGGCACACAAAACAGAGACTTACCCTCACTACGTCCTGTGAGGTAGGGTAGGCAAACAATAGAAATGGGGAGTGGGCAGAGACTTGCTCAAGGCCCCCGGGGTGACAGGGAGCCCTTTGTTCTGTTGCCCAGTGTTCAGGCTTCTATTCAACCAGCCCTGAGCCAACCAACATGTCCTGCTGTCCTCTTGCGTTTGCCTTTCCTAGTATTAAAGAGTCCTGGGGCTGCGGGCTGGAGAGGAAGAATGAGGAGAAGGCTGCCCACGAGGTGCTCTGGGCGGAGTACAGGAAGCTGGGGCCCCTCTCCTTTGCTGAGGTCAACGTACTGCTCTGCTTCTTCCTGCTGGTCGGCCTGTGGTTCTCCCGGGACCCCGGCTTTATGCCCGGCTGGCTGTCGATCGCCTGGGTGGAGGGCCAGACAACGTAAGTGGTCCCTCCTCCTTTTCCGCTGTCCAGCACTGTTGCTTTCTGGACTCGTTTTTGTCTCACGAATTGACACTCCCACAGATGTGTTCATGCGGCCCCTCCTCCCCAACAGGCTGGCAGGGTAGCCAGGCTGTCATAGAGGCTTGCTGGGTGGGACGGCGGCCCCCAGCACTCTGGCTTCCAAATCCCTGTTCTGCTATCTTTCCTTTCTGGTCCTTTTTCAGATCCGGGCCATTTCCTTTGAAGGCACATCCTGGGGTCCAGAAGCTTTTTCAGACAGAGATTTGGCAAAAGAGGGCAGGGATATGGAGTTTCCCTCCTAGCTAAGATGCTGTGCGGTCAGAATGGAGGCAAGGTTGAGAAACATGCATATCCCAGACAGGGCAGATGTGGACAGGGACACAGCTGCCTATTACTGTAATTATTCCGTTCTGAAGGTCTGCTGGGGGCAGCCCCAAAGTCCCTGTGGTCATCCTGGTGCAGCTAGAATCCCAGAGAATCTGGTGGAGAAGAGGTCATGAAGTTCACCCGTGAAGCAACACGGGCCCAGGGTTACCCAGAGCCGGTGGCAGAGCCAGGCCAAGAATGTGGGTGCCCTGGCTTCCAGCCAGGGTTCAGTCCACCTCCCCCTTCCCGATCTTGGCCTTTGGGGATCCAGTTTTCTTACTCAGCTGAGCCAGTTTCTTCACGTAGGAGCATTCAGACACAGAGCAGGCTTGTTGGATGACCGTCACTGCAGCCAAGCTGGGCGAATCCTCTGTGCTCTTCCCCCGCCCAGGTACACCTCCGATGCCACCGTGGCCATCTTTGTGGCCATCTTGCTATTCATTGTGCCCTCGCAGAAGCCCAAATTCAACTTCTGCAGCCAGACTGAGGAAGGTAAGGCTCCCGTCCTGGCCTCCCATTCATCAGGGTTGGGGCCCTGGGATCCTCAAGAGGTGCCCTGGGCCCCAGAGGGAGAAAATCGCACCCTCTTGAAAAAGACTAGCTGAATTACAAAGTCTGGGCACAGGGTATTTTCCAAGCCTTCCCTGGGTATTGTTTAGTGCAAAATCTCCTCTTTTGCTTTTTAAACATTTGAAATCGTTATTTATTTTACAACGGGAACAGAAAGAGGTGTCGCATTTTGGGGGTTTCTCTCTTCCTCGCAGTCTTTGTTAATATGTAAATATATCACGGCTATAATCAACACACACACACAATTTCAATCCTGTTTCTTTGCTGTTTTGTTCTTTCCATGTTTTGCTTGCTATAAATATTTCCTGCTATTGCCACAATTTTCAAATTTATTTTCTCTAATAACGGCATTATAACTGTATCAGGGGGCTGTACCCATTTCCCTGTCATGGCACATTCTGGCTGTTTTGAATTTTTCATTATTGTAAATTTTCATGTATATAGCTTTTTCTTTGAGGGTGTTTCTTCTTTAGGATAAAGTTCTAGGAATGATGGTGCCGGGGTTAAAGAATATATATACTTAAGGGCTTTTAAAATGTATCAGTAATGCTTTTCAAAAGGCTACCAGTTTATAATGCTACCAGGAGCACATGAAAGTCTGACCATATCATATCTTCACAGCAATTATTGTAAATTTTAGCTAATTAACAGATATGAGATGGTACTCACTGTCTGTGCTGGCTTTTTATTCCCCTTGATGAGATCTCTTTTGCTTTCTAAGGCTGCTCTGGGTTATGTACGTGTGTGTTTTTGTCATCTCTTCTCAGACAGGAAAACTCCATTTTATCCGCCTCCACTGCTGAATTGGAAGGTGGCCCAGGAGAAAGTACCCTGGGGCATCGTGCTGCTCCTGGGGGGCGGCTTTGCTCTGGCTAAAGGATGCGAGGTAACCCCTCCAGCTGTGGGCTGCCCAGCACCCCTCCGTTCACCAAGAGGGCAGCCGAGGAATGGCGGCACCTCTCCCTCCGGGCACCCGGGGCTGCGCCTGTGCGTTTCTGTGTCTGTCTCCTCCACGGAACCGTACATTTCTGGAGGACAGGGCCTCTGCCTTGTCACCTAGAAACCCTGCACCACGAATAGTGCCTGGGATAGAGAAAGTACTCTTTGAGTAACTTCAGAAATGAGTGAATAAGTGCCCCTGATCGGCAGAGAGAGGCAGGGGATGTTGTGAGAGCTCCTGGGGAGGCTTGGGGAAAATGAGCTCTGCTTTGCTTTATTCCAGGCAAGTCTTTCAAGCCTTTGTGAACGTTTCACCATTACCTTTGGTTCTTCTACTTGCTGAAGTCTTTGTTGATATAGTTGCCGTTTAAAATTTTTTCTCTAGCTAGGTATGTAGTGACATAGAAGGAGAGGAACAGTTCTGGGGGGTAAACACCCCAAAATACAATTTTCTTACCTGCCCCCTTCCCTGATTGGGAAGAAATGAGCCAGAGGGAGGGATAAACACCTTGGCGCTGCTGTCCTCCATCCAACCATGCATCTGTCCATGCATCCAGGAATAGAATGTGATAGACTCGGTCTGTCTTGCTATTGGCGTTTCCTCGGCATCTAGGATGGGGCCTGGTGCATAGTGGGTACGTAACTATTTTTCTGATGAAAAATCCATCCATTCTGTCACCTCTCCATCCAGTCATCCATCTGTTAATCTCTCCATTCATTCTTCACCAAACAATCCTATTATGTCTACGTTAGGTCAGGCACAGTAATTACAGAGGAGATTGATTTCATTGGTCCCTGTTCTTGAGGCGTTCACAACCTAGAGAAGAGGACATACCTGGAAGAGCATTTCAGGAGGAAGTGATACGAGTAAAGAAATAAGCCTGTTGTGTCTAGATGAGGAACAGTAGGAGATAAGGCTGGTGAGGCTCGCAGCAGCCACTTCACTGAGGGTCAAGATAGGGAATGTGGACTTTATTCTGAAGGTGGTGGGTAGCTGCTGCAGGGTTGAGGCCAAAGAGTAACTTGGTCAGATGTGCACTTGGGAAAAATCTCTGATGTCGGAGCGGAGGCCTGGGTGGAGTAGAGGCCTAGGCAGGGCCGAGGCTCTATAGAGCCTTCATCTAACACAGGCTCAGAACACTGGCCTCCATGGACTGCTCTCTCCTTCCTAAAACTACCCCCTCCTTTGGTCCCCATTACATCATTCTCTTCTGTTTCCTTCTAACTCTGACTATTCCTACTCTGCCTCATTTGCTGTCTTTTCCTCTGTTCTCCCTTAAATATGAGTGTTCATGAAGGTTCTGTCTTCACTTTTCATTCTCTTCCTGGATAATCTATTCTCAGCCCAAAGCCCCAAATATAAATTCCCAACTTCTGGCTCAAATCACTTTCTTGAGCTCTAAGAATCATGGGAGAATGAGAGGAGATGATGATCATGAGGTGTTCTGGGTGACTGGTGGGTGACTGACTGGGCACAAGGAATAAGGGGGATGGAAATCCCAGGATGACCCCCTGGCCTTCTAGGTTGGACAGCAGATGAATCTATTCAGTGAGCTGGGGAGCCCCAGGGGAGCAGATTCTGGGCTGTAGAGGGTGAATTCAGGTTGGCATGTGGAGTCTGATATGCTCATGGGACACCTGGGTAGAAATCAGGATAGTAGACAGGCTGGGCTGGAAACACAGATTTAAGAGACAGCAGAGTGAGGACGAGACTGAAATTGTGGGCACAGATGAGATCACCTATGGTACATATGCAGAGAGAGAGTCAGAAGTGAAGGATGGGCTGAGCTCCTTGCAGAAAGAGGAAGGTCCCTCCTGGCTCTGAAGGAACTGTAAGCCTGCTAGTAGCCCTGTGGTGACTGCCCTCTCTGTGCTTCCCAGGCCTCGGGGCTGTCAGAATGGATAGGGAAGCAGATGGAGCCCTTGCATGCTGTGGCGCCGGCAGCCATCACCTTGATCTTGTCCTTGCTCACTGCTGTGCTCACCGAGTGCACAAGCAATGTGGCCACCATCACCCTGTTCCTGCCCATCTTTGCCTCCATGGTAAGTAACCCTGCTGGGGGAGACGACTTGTAGCCATCATTTCATAGGAAGCCATCAACCCATGACTATATCCTGGATCCCTAGAGAGGCAGTGACATCAGGGGCCCAAGCCTGGCCAGGCTTTGGAGACCTGGGTCTCTAAACCCTGCTCCAAGACAGACTTGTGTGCCCTTGAGGACCCTGGGCCTGCTCTCAATCCTTTGCTGGTTCTTCTTTGTATCCTCCTTGCTGACCAAAGTGCTAAGCAAGAACCAGGTGCTCTAAATGTATTTGTAAATGTAATTGTTATTTCTCAAGCTGGGGAGACAGGGCTTGCATCACGGAGAAGGGGGCCAGGGCCGTGAGGGAACAATAGAGGGTCTCTGAGAATGTAGCACGGATGAGTGGGAGGTCTGCAGGGCAGGGCGACACCGCTGGCTGGAATCTACCAGGAAGAGATCTTGGGGGAACTGGGGCCTGGGAATGGCAGGAGGGGAGAAGGTGTTCTGGGAACACAGAGTAGCCCAAGTAAAGGAAACGGGGCGCATGACTGGAGCCTTGCTTGGCAGGCTCAGGGATCAGGGATCGGGGAGCTGAGCCCACAGAGGCCTTGGGTGGTGGTGGGGGGGGATGCCGAGAGCCAGGCTCAACAGTTGTGTTCTGTGGACAAGCATATTGTTGAGTTGGGATGGGAAGCAAGCAGAGCTTATAGGAAAATCGACTGTGATGTTTTCTTGCGTTTCCTTTCGCCACTCATCACACAGCAGTACTGGCCTCAAGGTGGTACAGAAAGAGCCCTGGGTGTGCAGTCAGAGGTCCCGAGTTCAAGCTGTGGGATCCTCAAACATGTCACCTGGGTTCTTTCCCCGTACTCTTGTGCTGAGGGTTAAGTAGGATGAGGGCTGTGAGAATCCTCTGCAGATGCAAAGTGAGCCTGGGAGAGGCCGTGGCTGCCATTCTGGAGGTGGGAGACAGACTTACAGAGGCCTCAGTGCAGGCCTGAAGTTGGTAAATTTTCACTCAGCTGCCAAGGTGTCCATGTGTATAAAAAGCAAACCCAAGTGATTTTCTCTTTTTGTTCCAAGTGAAGATGAAAGTGTTAAGAAGAGCCAGGTGGCCCACCTGGCCCTCCCCAAGCAGCTGCCCAGACAGGTGCCGAGGAGCTTCTCTTGCTGCTGCTCATGCAGTGGTGAGGCCTCCCTCCCCTGGCAGAGGCCTGGCTTTGTCACCTTCAGCCCCCAGCCAGAAAGATGGACGTCTTCACTTGATGGGGTGGCAGGCCAGGCCCTTTGAAAACAAGCTTTTCTAGAATCAGAAGCCCCAAGGTTAGGTTCCCACTGGCCTCACACTTCTGCCCCAGCACCACCTGCAGGCAAGGGGAAGGGCGACCTCCCAGCTGGGTCTCAGATGCACACAGGGTGCATAGGCCATGGGGGCCCCAGGAAGCAGACAGGCCCCTCTCAGTTACTCCTAAAGGGGGTACGACTGGTGCAGCCTTTTCAGAGACCTGTTGACCCACAGGAACCATAACCTGAAACCTCTCATACCCTTTGACTCCGGGAACTTTATGTCTAGGAATCTCTTAGGAAAATCATCAGAGATGCCAACAAGCATCTATTATAAAGATGCACATCACAGAATTATTTGTTATAAAAAATACTTCCATAATACAGAGGATTGAAGAAATATGTTCTCATATATTCATACAATATAATATGATCAAGTCACTTTTAAAAAATCACAGCTTTGAAGGGTATTTCATAAAATGGGACCATGTATAACTTTTCAAAGCTGGAAATGTGATAGATACATGTGGCTAAAAATTGTCTAATAATATCAAAGAGTATGTAGACCCTTACCCTCTCATCTCCTCCCTAGGGACAACCTCTGTTATTAATTTCTTAGGTATCTTTCTGGATGTATTACACACACACACTTTTTAAAAACAAATGGTATCATTCTATGGCCCTGTTCTGTACCTTAGTTTTCAAATCTAACCATACACTTTGGAGATCATTCCATGTTAGTATATAAAACCCATTCAATTCTTTATAGCTGCAAACTATTCCACTGTACATATGTATTTTATTTAACCATCCTGCTATTGATGGCCAGTAAGTCTGTTTCCTGTGTGTTTTGCTGTTACAATACTGCATTGAACATCTCTGCATGTGTCTACCCTTATGTGCATGTAGATCTACATGACAGATTATTAATTTTGATAGATATTGACAGATTTTACAAATTATGGTATCTTTTATTCATTCAACAAATATTTAATGAATGTCTACTCTGTGCTAGGCACTGTTAAATGTGGCTAAATTTTAAGCTTTAGAGAAAAGATGGATACCAAATTTTATACACAAAATGATCCCAAATGTGTATAGAAACACATGCAAAGGCACAGGTCAGGTCCCTGCCCTCTAGGCTTTCTCTGCCTGTGGCAGGACAGATAGACAAGTGCATGGGTGGGCTGCAGGAGTGCTCAGTTGAGTCCCTGGCACATAGTACGTGGCCAAGAAATATATGTTGAATGAATTGAGGGGATTCAGAAGGGCTTCCTGGGGAATTTAGCCTTCAGGATCCAGCAGAATTATCCAGATGTGGCAAAAGGCAGAGGACCCAGCAGGACAAAGGCACAGAGGTGGAAAGGCACACAATACGTTAGGGAAATGCTTTTCAGAGTGATGGTCCTGGGAGCTTTTCTTTTCTGCATCTGTGACGTTGTAGTGCTGTGTTTTCCCCCCAGTCACGTTCCATTGGCCTCAACCCGCTCTACATCATGATCCCCTGTACCCTGAGTTCGTCCTTTGCCTTCATGTTGCCTGTGGCCACCCCACCTAACGCCATCGTGTTTTCCTATGGACACCTCAAGGTTTCTGATATGGTAACGCAGCCACTTTTATTCACTCCTATCAGCTATGATATTTCTGTCATGAGGGATGCCCCATTTATTAATGATCTGTGATGTCAAAGAGTTTGGGAATACCACCAAATGTCCAGACCTAACTCATTATTTGCATTTATATGCAACATCTCTTCTTTTTTGACATGATGTCATATTTCAGACCGTTCTGTCCCCCAAAGCTGAGAGGTGGGTTACAGAATTTCCCACCTGGAGGTACCTGAGCAGCCATCCATGGAGCCTTCACTGAGTACTTGGAAGGGGTGAGGATGGGGGTCCCACATGGCCCAGATGGATTTCACAAACTAGCAAGAACCCCCCGTGAGGACAGTCAGGAGGGGCAAGGCTGAGACGGTGGGGTGGGGAGTGCTAATGACAGCCACAGAGACTGATAGAGGAGTCTGCAGACGTGGAAGCAGGGAGGGGGCGAGAGACATCACTGCCTGGGAGCAGATGCTGCCCTGGAAACAAATGCAGCCAAAGGGAGGAACTCTTCAGTCCTGCTATGGCTTTACCCTGGCCCCCAGCAGCTCTGCAGCTCTGGGAAGGAGAGAGGGAAGTGTGTGAGCAGGGGAGGCCAGAAAAGAGGGTTCCTCCCCCAGCCCAGTCAGGTGCTGGTTATCTCAGAGCCTCCGCTGGTGTCTCTGGGACTCCATGGAACGTTCTCACACAGCGGCTGGGTTCCAGAAACTAGCAACAGCAAACTCAATTCCAATCCCCAGTAAAAAATCTAGCACACAGTTTGAAAGCAATAGTTAGCATGCAAAGAACTCAGAGCAGGCACTGGAAAGGCTGTGGGAGGTTCTCGGGAAGCCAGCACATGCCTGGGGAACGGTGAAGGCCCTGGCGTGAGCGCCAGACCTGGAGTTAGACCCAGGCTCCTCCAGTAACTCCCTGAGTGGTCTGGAGCTGTCGCCTCCCTCACATCCCTGAGGCCCAGTTTTCCAAGCGCTCAAGTGCACCTGGAGAACCCGCCTGTCCTGCCTGTTTCCCAGGCTGCTTTAGCAGCGACGATTCTTACTGGACATGAAGTTGCTCTGCCTGGGGGAGTGGTAAGCACAGAGCAGGGCGCAGGGACAGGGGGCCTAGCACGCAGCCTTTGTTCCCTTCTGTCCCAGAGTGCTGGTTCCCGTGTCCCATTCACCTTTGTTCTGACGGCCCCGCAGACCCAAGGGTGCTCACTCTGACCCTGTATTTTTCCAGATGAAAACAGGACTTATGATGAACATAATTGGAATTTCCTGTGTATTTTTGGCCGTCAACACCTGGGGACGGGTCATGTTTGACTTGGACAATTTCCCCGAGTGGGCTAACGCGACTGCACATTGAGACTTAGGAAAAGCCATGAGACCACGACCACGACCCCACACTCCGGAGAACTCCCGAAACTTCCAGTACACCTTGCAGCAGAGCTTTGGCCACCCCCATGGTGATCCCATGATGACCACACCCTACAGAGACCCAGCCAATGGGCCACATCTTCCTCCACGCCCAGGGTCACAGCTGGGGACAGGTGCCTGGAGGGTAGTCTTGGAAGTGAAGGGTGCCTCCCAAGGGGCTGCTGGTGTCCATCTCTCCTGGGTCCTGCCATCATCTCTGGGATGGGCAGGGTCCTCCCCAACTCAGTCTAGAGCTAGCCCCACGCTGGGCTCTGGTGTCTACTCATCATCTAAATAGGACTCAGATCCTAGTTTGAGAGGTGAGCAAACAACCTTCCAGAGCCTGTGCCTCTCCCAGCTTACCCTGGGCTGCCTCAGATCACCCCTGTCACTCGGAAAGGACAACCCAGCCCAGGGACAGAACGCCTGGTCCTGGGCGGCTTCCCGCTGCTGCAGTGAGAGTGGGAACCAGCAGGAGTATGGTGGATCTGAGTCGATAACTTCTGGGCCATGCCACCCACAGCACCCCACGGCTACCGGCTCCACTTTAACGGACAGTTTGGACCCCCTTCGCAGCTCTGCGGGACATCTCCTTCAGTCCCTAGGCCCCTCTGTCGTCCTGCTGACGTTTGTTAGAATCTGCCCTTCTTCTCCTCGGCAGGTCAATTTGGCTCTTCCAGGAGATGCTTTTCCTGCCCCCCACCCCAACCCTGATGGCTGGGATCACGCTCCACTACGGGCAGTGATGGCTCCTTTGGGGCCACAATTGGGGGTCCAGGTGCTCCCTCACCTGCAGGTCCAGAGGGGACACTTGTTAATTACCAAGAGCAGGGTTCCTTCAGAGTTTGTCTGTCATGCTGGAGTTTGGTTTCCTCTGGGGAAAGACTCCCCTTGCCGACAGCCAAGACTGGTGGTGACAGAGCAGCGCTGAGAACAAGCAACGCCTGGTGGTCCCGGAGCAGATAGTCCCTGTCCATGAGTGAATCTACCTGAAGTTGCTGGGCAAAGACTCCAGAGTGGCTGGGAACCCTCAGATCCCCTGTGAGAGATACATGGGAGACTCCCACACTCTTGCCCACAACTCAGTTTTATTTTTCTCTTGCACTGCTCCATTGGTGGTATTTTTCAGAGCAGGAGAAGGTATGGGAACCCAAGGGACTGCCCCCCACCCCCTGCAAAGGACCAAGCATGTACCACCTGGTTCCACCTTATTCCTTGGGTGGGATGATTCCTGACCATCCCATCTGTCTCCCATGGAAGGTGCACTGAGCTGTCGGGGGTGGGCGGGGTGAGTGGATGAAGAGCACTCACTGCTCACCTCCTGTGTGCCGGGCCTCCCCGGCCCTGGTGTGTCTGTCTGCTAGTTATCACTTGACCTTTGCCGTAGCCTGTGAGATAGGCAGGCATTATTAACCTCATCTGGCTTTCATTAATACTGGGGCTAAGACAGGCCAAGTCATGTCCACAGTCACGCATCAAGTTAGTGGCAGTTGAGGTTCCAATCCAGATCTTCACTGCCATGTCCGCTGCTGCTTCCTCTAGCTATTAAGGACCTTGGCCTTGTAGGGCCTGTGGGGAAAGGTGGTGGCCAAGTGCAAATCCACCCCAAGGCCCTGCCTGCTCAGGGATCATCAACAAGAGCCCCCTTCTGCTGCCTCCTCTGAGATGGACTCAAGTCAGTCCTGGAGCAGACAAGGCTGGTCTTTGCCTGCAGAAGCCAAGCCTTTGGTTGGAGAGAGCAATATGAACATGGCTCCCTGCTCCCCCACAAGATAAAACTGAGCCACCCCTCTATCAGTGCTCCCTACACTGTGAGGGCCCCCGGGACTCACACTGCCCTTTGGGTCCTGTGCCGGCCCTATGGCTGAGCCACAGCAGGCCACCACAAGTGTGATCGGTAAATAAATGATTAGTTCAGTGTGGTCAATTAGATGCATGCCTGGTGGTAGTGAGCAAGGTCAGTGAAGGTCATCTGGTGGGCACTGAAGGCTGAGTGGGACTGGCCAGACTGATGGGGGAGGAAGTGGTGGGGTTGATGGAAGGGCAGGGGGACTGCATCAGGTTGAGGGGTGACAAGAAAGCTGGGCGGGGTTTTGGGAGAGTGGATATCAAGGTTGAGGAGGTTGACCAGTTGGGATCCTTTCCTGTCCCTCTGAGCTGAGAACCTCCTTAGGGAAAGACCTGGGCCACCTCCTCTGGCAGGGCCAGTGAGCAGGGCATGCCCTGGAACAGGTAAGGCCTTTTCCCCTCCCCACCATCTCTCACACACAAAAATAACGGTAGTTTGCTCTGGACTCCAAGCAGCGAGTCAGCCCATTAGCAGAGTCCAATTCTCAAAATGAATGCAGATTTTCTCAGGTAGGACCCTTGATGGCATGTTCTTGTTTGTGGAAATAAAGACAAATGCTGGATTGTCTGGTTAAAAACTACACCCAGCAGTCTTCTTCTTAGCTAGGAACTCCTTCTTCTAGCCTACTCTATCTAGCCTACCTATCTAGCCTTCTCTCCCCTACTCCCACATCCTCTTAAAAGCCTTGTGCTCCAACCCGAGGAAACTTCTTTTAACATAAAAAAAAAATCCATCAAAATAAATCTCCCATACCATTGGATGAGTTTTTACATTCTTCAACAGAAAGCTTATCATTTCTGGTGGAAGTCCCTGATTTCAGATAGATATTCAGTTTACTTCCCTGATTCAGGTTCTCACGCCCCTGCCCCAGGAACACCTTCCAGGCGGTTCCCTGCTATGCCGGGCAGACTCACACTTCCACCCTCAGAAATACAGGCCGCCCATGGCTGGCAGTCTCAGAGCAGCATTTATGTCCCTGCCTCCAGCTATCAAAGGTAGAGAAATACTACAGTCTTAGAACACTGCTGTCCAATCAAGAAATTTTAACAGTTTTTATAACTAAAAAGTTACCATGAACACAGCGGAAGAAATTTCAACCATGCAAAAAAGTATTGAGACATGTTTCTCCACTTCAGACCTTGAGGCCTCCATGCCCCACCAGAAAGGCAACCACTGTCCGACAGTTTCTTATGTGTCCTTCTAGAAATGCTACAGGTACAGTTGGTCCTGTAACGCAGGGGATGGTTCCAGTACCCTCTCCGGAACCAAAACCCACGGATGCTCAAGTCCCTTATATAAAACAGCCTAGGAGGGTCTGCCCTCGGTATCTGTGGATCCCGCGTGGCAGTTGGTTGAATCCACAGAGGCGGAACTTGTGCACACAGAGGGCAGACTGCATACATGTGTATGTAACAGATATTTAGCATTTTATTACATCTGGGAGCATACTATGCACATTTTCTGTCCTTGTTTCTACCCCTCTCCCTTAATTCACTGGGAGATCATTCTATTTCAGGACATATTAAGTTTGACTCCCCCCCCATTTAATAGTTAATTTTGTTTTTAAATTGAAGTGAAATTAATTTCAGTGAACTGCAGACCTTAAGTGTACAATTCAACGATTTAGACAACTGTGTATACTGTGTAAGCAACACCCCATTTCCATCTCCTTACCCTCTGAAGGTTCTCTTGCCCTTCCCAGGAATCTGCACCTTCTTGAGGCAACCACTCTTCTGATTTCTGTCACCATGAGCTGGTTTTGCCTGTTGAAATTCATGTAAATGGCATCATATAGTACACACTCTTGTGTCTGATTTATTCTGCTTAACAAAATGTTTCTGAAATTCATTCTTGTTGTGTAACCATTTATTCTTTTTATCATTGTTGTTAAGTAGTGTTTCACTGTGTGAATATGCCACAATTTGTTTATTCCCCTTTGATGGACATTTGGGTTGCTCCAGTTGAGGGCTCTCTGAATAAAGCTGTTAGAAAATTCTCTGCAGAAGTCTTTTTTTGGACACATGTTTTCATTTCTCTTGGCTATGTGCCTAGGAGTAAGCCACAATCTTTTTAAAAGCTGCATAGTATTCCACTGTAAGTGCATACCACATAATAAACAAGTCTCCTGTTGATGGGCATTTGGATGGTTGCCAATCTTTTGCTAATATTGAAATAAACACAGCTGTACTTAGTAAACCGGTGAGCGTACTCTCCTAGAAGGGCATGATGGATGAAAAGGTATATGTATTTAAATCTGGGACAGCTGTTACCAATTTGCTTTTCAAAAAGGCTATGCCAATATATATTCTGAAGAACTGTGGATGAGACCATATTCTTCCACAGCCTAAGCAACTCTGTGTGTAATCAAACTTCTCAATCTTTGCTACTCTGATAGTTGCAAAATGCTCTCATGATTTTCATTCTCATTTCCTTAAATTCCAAGTAATTTTGAGCACTTTTCATATATTTATAATCCATTTGTATATCTTTCTTTTGTAAACTCCCTGTCTTTTCCCCATTTTTCAGGAGTTTTTTAAAAAGATATTTTCTTATTCACTTATAAGAACTTTCTATATATTAAGGAGACTAGTCATTTCATAGTGTATGTTAAGATCTAGCGAAGCTAGTTACTGTTTATTCTTCTTTTTAATCCTCTCCACCTCCTGCCCCCAGCAATTCTCAAATATTTTTCCATAAGAATTTCTGAATCAGCTTCTCTAGTTCCCCAAAAATCTGGCTGGTAGTTATGTCTCTGGCTACCTCACCCCCTAACTCTACCTCGCTCTCCAGGGTTTCTTGACCTCAGCACAATTGGCATTTCAGACCAAATCAATCTTTGCTGCAGGAAGCTGTCTGTGCACTGCAGGATGTCCAGCAGCATCCTGGCTTCTATTCATCAGATGCCAGCAGCAACCCTGCACCCCCCTCCCCCAGTTGTGGCAATGAAAAATGTCTCCAGGCATTGCCAAATGTCTGAGAACCGCTGACTCACTCTGATAGGAAGCTACACGGGCCTCCTTGCTGCTCCTAGAGCAAGCAAAGTACACTCCTGCCTCATCACCTTCCTAAACTCCGCTCAAACGTTACTACTCCTCAGCCTATTTTAAATAACTCCCCACCTGCCCCACACTCCCTACACTGTCCTTGATTTTCCTCAATTGCATTTTTCATCTAGTATACTAGATAATTTACTTCTTTAGTTCTCTCTTTTGTTTGTCTGCCTCTCTCCCATCTTTAAGTATGTAAGCCCCACGGGGACAGGGATTTTTCTCTGTTCTGTTCACTCTTGTATCCCCTGTGCCTAGAACATGCCTGGTACACAGTAGGTGCTCAATAAGTGTTGGATGAATGAATGAATCAGAATAGGTTTGTAGTATTGGTGGTTCAGTGGTAGAATTCTCGCCTGCCAGAATAGGTTTGTAGACAAGGTTAGATGAGAAATGACATCTTTACAACATTGACCCATCCTACACAAAATGGTGTTTTTCCATATGTTAAACCTTTCTTTTATGACCCCTTGTAAACTTTTGAAGTTTCTTACAAGTAAGCAATACTAAATATCTTTTGCAGTAAACATTTGTCCAGTCTATTTTTTATTTTTCCTATTAGCAGGCTTGGGAAACTAAACTACCTGACTCACAAAGAGTGTGGACGGGCTACCAGGCTCCAGGGACTTCCCTGATCGGTGACCCTTGGGCTGTGGTCATGTCTAGAGGCCCCTCACTGTCTCTCTTCTCCATCACCCAGCCCAGAGCTCTTCCTCGCAGGCTCCCAGGAGGACCTCTACCTTGGCTGATGGCCCTTCCCAGGCATCCATCTTTGTCCACCTCCCTCAAGGGGCTGCAGCTAAGGAACATTGCTCAGGAGAATCCCACTGCATGGGGCCTCCCCAGAGACCAAGGGCTCATCTCCAGGCTCCCCTGTGGGGCAGGTGGCAGACACACTGAGGGTGACCTTACCTTTCCCGGCCAGCTCCCTAGCCCAATTGAAGGGGCCTTTGCTAGGGAACGGACTGTCCAGCAGAGTAGGGATGTGGGAGGACAGGCCCTTCCTTGGCAGGCTTTGAGAGGACAGAGAAAGAGGGGCCTCCCTTCCCTTGCTCTGTTTCCCCAGACTCCTCCCGATGGGCCCTGGTTCCCCACCTTGCACTGCACTCCTGCCCAGGCCTGAGTGTGAGAGCTGAGCTCTGGACCTCCTCCCTGGGTGTGGTCCCTCACCTGTGAAACAATAACCCTTCCATGGTCTGAGCGCTTTGGGCTGGGCACACGGCGGGCACTTGGTGAAGGGGGCTGCTCTTGTGTCATCAGCCATCACAGCCACTCCTAGGTCTCCTTTTCAGCAGTGCCTATGAGGATGTCCGTCATGCCCACATGAGCCCCAGGTCCACCCCAAGGTCACCCTGACTTTTCTGGAGGTAGCCTCCAAATGGATCTGAAGCTGTGACCTGGCACCACCCCGGGCACGACTAAGAGTAAGCTCCAGAAAGATTACGGGTCCCCCTCCTTTTGCGTAAGTCAACATAAAACAAGACAGTGCTTGTGAGGTGAGGCCAGTGGCCCTGACTGTTGGCTTGCAAAGTGCTGTGTGGCGTCCTGCTTGCCCTGCCCCCAGCAGGGACTTACCCTGTGCCTGGGACCTCCTGGGGGTGGGGGTGGGGCAACAAGCCTGCTCAGAGCCCAGAGCTGGGAGGCTGGCAGGCAGGCCTGGGCTGTTTCAGAGGCTTGGGGTGGGGGGTGGCGGGGGGGGGGACCCACAGCTTGCAGGGCGGTGGGGAGGCAGGGGAGGCAGGCTCCTGCCCGCTGTGGGGCTGTGGCAGTGTCCCGTGGTTCACCACTTCACATTTATAGCTCCAGTGCTTCTCAGTTTACTGTCTCTGCGGTGGAAGGCCTGGCTCTCTGGAAACCGCAGCTGTGGGTAGCTGGGTGCCTGCCTGAGTGCTGAGCTGTGAGGGAGGCTCAGAAGTTTCCCAGGACGGTGAGCCCCAGCTCCAGCCCCCACCTCAGGCTCGCCGTGACCTCTTCGTAGAACCTGGCTGGAGGCTGGAAGGAGCTGTCAGGATACTGAGGGTCCCCTGGTACCCTTCTCCCGATTGGTCCTCCATGAGGAGCTGGAAACTTGCCAGAGAGCGGGGTGGGGGTGGGGTGCTCCCTAAGGCCCCTGTGGGACTCTGGAACAAGGGAGCTGATGAAGGAGGTGAGGGTGAGTCGGGGGACCAGAGGAGGAGGCTCACAGGACCAAGGCTTGATGAGCACATGGGATGCATGGAGCTGCTGCTCTCCAATCTGAATTTCTCGACCTACTGGGTTTCACACGTGGCCCAGCGGCCTCACAGCGTGGCCCTCAGCAGACCAGTGCAGCAGGTGCGGCTCCGTTTGGCCAGGGAGGGGTCTCAGGCTGCGAGAGGATGGGAGGTAAGCGAGTTGTCTAGATGCTGGCAGCCGCAGTGGAGCCAGGACCAGGACTGAGAGCCTGACTCCAAAGTCCTGTTCTCATCACTGAGCCATGTAAACTTTGAGTTTTGTCTGCACTAGGGAGTGGGGTCCTGCTGACCTTACAGAGATCGGCAGGAGCAGGGCCTGGTTCCTATGCCCCGAGCTGTGGATCTGCCCTGCTCTGGCTCAGTTAAGGGGGCACCCAGTTACAGACCAACTCCCTGCCCTGCCCTGCCCCTCCCCACCCCACAGGCCATCAGACCTGACTCTGGCCTGCTCCTCTGGACTCCTTGATTAGAAGGGCAGGTCAGGGAGAGAGGGAGGGAGTCTGGGGCCAGGCATGAGACAGGCTGCTGGGGCGTCTGGAAGCTCTCACCCTGCAATCGAGGGAAACCCCAGAGAGCAAATAGGAGAGGGGATGGGAACAGGTAGGGCCATGATTACCGGGTAGGGTGTGGAGGGGACCTGCGGGAGGGCAGGGCCCATCTTGGGGAGGTGAGGCGGGAGGGCAGTTACCTAAAAACAGAGCTGATTTTCATATAAATAGGACACCGATTGGATATATTTCTTTTTTAAAGTTAGGATTTATTTCAGTGTTCCCTTCCTCAGCAAACAACCCTGGCATGCCAGTCCTTGGTGGTTTTCAGCCTGGTGGCTGAGGCGTCTAGCTGGTTCAGGTCACGGGGCCCTTGATCTGGGTCTCTGAAGCAAAGAGCAATTCAGTTCTACATTTACCAACCCCTGAAGGATGCCTGGTCAGTGCTGTGAGGTGGGGTCACAGGGAAGAACCAGGTTCTGTCCCTGGCCCCAAGGGTGGACCGAAGTAAACAGTTCTTCCTCTGATTGTATACGAGTGGACGGGGTCCGCTCACTCTGTGTGAATCAGGAGAGGCTTCTCAGGATCTATCCCAAGCAGTTTTGAAGGATGAATAGCTTTTCAGACTCTCCTTTTTTCTTGCAACAATAGTAAGCAGCCACTATGTGCCGGGTGTTAAACTAGTAGCAGAGAGACAGCACACAGGCTCTGCTCTGAGAAGTCTAGTAGGGGAAGTCATGTGAATGGGGACAAGAATGTCTTAAATGTTAAAACTGAAGTGTGTGCAAGACGCATCAAAGGCCAGAGGAAGGACCTCTCCGTTCTATGTGGGGACACGGGAGCAAGGGTCTGCGCAGGGAGCTGGCCGAGGCAGGGGGGCCGTGCGCAGCAGGAGGGCTGTGCTGAGGCAGGAACTGGGACTGCGCTTTCTCAGGCCCAAGGACTCAGTGAGCTGCCTGGGGGCGTGAGACCACTGAGCAGCAGGTGGGAGCAGGCCTGGTGGTTTAGGCAAGCAGTCTGTGGCTGAGCCATGTGGTCTGGAGGAGTCTGGACAACTGGGTTCCAGCTCTCACTTCTTCACATATGGGCTGGGTGGCCTGGAGCCCCACACTTTACCTCTCTGAGCGCCATCTCCTTGCGTCTAAAGGGGAAATTATGGTAACACTAGTCACATCTACTTGGCAGGGGTGACGTGAACAGATGGGATGGGACATGTGAAGGCATCTAACAGAGCCCAGTCCTGCAGTTTA